GTAGGATAAGCACTGGACTGCCAACTGCAAAGTCTGTGGTTCAGCCCACCAGCAGCTCCTCAGAAACTCCATATAGGATCACTATGAGTCAGAACTGAGTTGATGGCACTTAACAGCATGACTCATTGTGAATATTACAGAAATATTTCTAAAAATTACTAGCGTCAAATCACATTGCAATATATTTTGAAATCTGCAATACCGTCTGCAAAAAGGGTGTGAGGATGGTGTCTGACCTCCTCTTTCTTCACCAGGGTAAAGGATGATCAACTTCATCATGAACCCAAGGCTCATACCTAAGAGGCAGGGACAGACATGCCTCCAGCCGTCTACCTTCTCTACCAAATCTGACCAGCCATCTTTCCTATAGCACTCTAATCAGCTGAGTTCAATAATTCTTTGCAGTGGCCACACAGAACTCAGATACCCGTAGTCACAATTATTGGATTTATTAGGGAGATTGACGGGTTATAATTCACAATTAGAAATGCTCCGGGCAAAGTTCTTCCAGTCAGGACAGACTCTTCTCACTCATACCTTGGCCTCTCAGCCATGGGCCCCTTAACTTCTGTCCTGCTCCAATAATGTTAAAACACTTTTAGCACTGCTGATATATGCCCAAACAGCACTCCACTCTGCTCTAAGTCTCAGTCCAGTGATGCTCAGCTCTAACTCTGCGGGTCAGCAAACCTAGTTCCCCAATTAAGTGCCTAGAGACGTTCAACTCCACTAATAAGCCTCCTACCCAAGGGCACTCATGTTTACTTGCTCCATGGGCCGGGAAGCCCACTGTTATGTCTGGTGCCCCAGCTGTTGCTACTCTTCTGGTGTCACAGTTTTCTGTCCCTGGGTCAAGGAGGTTCGTTGTACGGGGGTTTTGATGTCCAACTGATGTGCCCCATTCCTGGCTCCTCTTCAATGTTAGTGAGATTCCCCTGCCTGCACCTGATATTCCTTATTTTGAAAGTAGGATGGCAAAATTGACCAATCCCCTCGTTCGATTTTCAGGGGTTTACTGTCATTGACCTTGTTAACAATCATCCACAACAAATCATCCTATTTGCATCTTCTCTCACCATCTTCTACCCAGGCCCATCATGGAAAAAAGTTGTTAGGTTGGAGTTGCAAAGACTGGACAGCAGAACCATGTGAAGTAATTCATTGGACTGTTCCATCTTTTGATGTAAAAAAATAAATGTGGTGAAGTTAGCTACTATTGAGTCAGCTCTGACTCATGGTGACCCTGTGCACAACAAAACAAAACACTGTCCACTCCTGTGCCATCTCACAGTTGTTCCTGTGTTTGAGTCCATTGTTGTATCTACTGTGTCAGTCCATCTCATTGAGGGTCTTCCTCTTTTTCAGTGATCTGCCACTTCAAGCATAATGTCCTACTTCAGAGATTTGTCACTCCTGATAACATGTCCAAAGTACATGAGACAGAGTCTCGCTCTTCTGACTTCTAAGGAGTATTCTGGCTTTACTTCTTCCAAT